CCCCGCCGGCCGGAACACGGAGGCCGCTGGAGGCCTCCCAGGACGCTGGCGCAGGAATCCCGCCTCTGAGCGGATCGCCAGGCCGGCTGCTCCCCCGGAGGGCGGGCGCCTCCCCCGCTCCGCCCCCATCCCCCCCACCGCCACCCCAAGGACAGCCGGGATGGCAGGGCTTGCCCACGCCTGTAATACCAAGTTCAGGAGGTGGTGTTGGGCACGGCTGCCGGCTCTTGGCTCCCGTGGGGTGGCCCCTGGTAGTGGTGGTGGAGAGAGGTCCAACGCCCTGCCTCCCGAGGGTGAAGCGTCCTGCTCGGTAATGGTGTCTGGGGCCTGGTGCTAAGTGGCTTATCTCCCCCGAGAGCCGGGCCTCTCCCGCTCCCGTGGTGCGCTTATCTGCACAGCCCACTTGAATGGGAGCCTGTCGGACGTTAATCCTATCTGCCATCATCCGTGTCTTAACAGCCTGCCCTCGGGCCTGGGCATTCCCGTGGTTTCATCGTCCTAACTGAAAAGTGGCCCGGGAACGGAACCTTGTGTTCTGGGGAAAGTCCCCCAACCATTAGTGGGCAAGGAATCTCCTCGCCCCAGGGATGCCTTGCTGGACGAGTCCCCCAGGTGGGAGGCTTGGTCAGTCTGGCTTCTAACTGCAAAGCCCTCAAGAACGTACTTTGACCCAGCTGAATCTGAGAAAGGGACCTGACATTTCAGAAACACCTGAATAGACAGCGTCTGAGAACTGCAAACCAAATGGTGCCTGGCTGACCACCGCTAATGCTTTGGCCTGGCACTGGGCGCATGGGCGGGTTCATTTTGCAAAGAGATGGGGCAAATTCACAAGTCCCTTGGAGCTCCTGTGTGACCCTGAGGAAGGGGGGTGGTGGCTGGAAGGAGAGGTGCTGGGTCTCTTGACACTGATCCCCAAGACCCTCTAGTAGTTTGGGTTTGAATACGCCCTCCCCAGTCTCCCAAAGCCAGGTTTGCTGAATCCTCCTGGGCTCCCCAGGGGCCCGTTGAAGCTGCCTGGGAGTCCCTAGTTCAATTCGCCCTGGTTCCACCTGCAGTCTTACTACTTCGACCGGGATGACGTGGCTCTGAAGAACTTTGCCAAATACTTTCTGCACCAGTCTCACGAGGAGAGAGAGCACGCCGAGAAACTGATGAAGTTGCAGAACCAACGAGGGGGCCGGATCTTCCTCCAGGATATCAAGGTGAAGGCTGGCCCCGGTGGGGGAGGGCAGGCAGGTTATCACCTGGCCTCTGCGGTGCTCAGGGTCAGAGATTACGCAGCCACCGAATGGGGCCACCCACAATCGGCTTTCATGGCTGGGCCGCCCTTTCAGGCACAAAGTTCACATCAACCAGGGGCTGCTGGGTTGAGTCCTTGGACTTGGTGGGAGAACGTGGGTGCCCCTGCTGTGGGGAGTGGTAGTGTTTGACATGTGGGGTGTCTGCCATCTTGCCCCAGGGGTTAGTAGGTGTGGCCTGCAGAGGGCTTGACCTTCCCCTTCCCTCCCCTTCCCTCGTTCAGAAACCAGACCGCGATGACTGGGAGAGCGGGCTCAACGCCATGGAGTGTGCACTGCACCTGGAGAAGAGTGTCAACCAGTCCCTGCTGGAGCTGCACAAACTGGCCACGGACAAGAACGACCCCCATCTCTGTGACTTCATCGAGACACATTACCTGGATGAGCAGGTGAAATCCATCAAAGAGCTGGGCGACTACGTCACCAACCTGCGCAAGATGGGGGCCCCAGATTCCGGCCTGGCCGAGTATCTCTTCGACAAGCACACCCTGGGAGACAGTGATGGAGAGAGCTAAGCGGCAGCCTGGCCTTCCCCAAGTCACCAAGGCAGCGCATGCATGTGGGGTAGACCTGTCCCTTTTCTAGAAATTGTACCCAAGCATCCACTTCCGTTCTTCCATTTGTACCTTTCCTTCAGATAAAGTCTAAAGTCATTTGATACCCAGCTGTTGTCTCAGAGATCTTGGCGGGGAGGGGCCAGGGAGCCGCCCCGGGCCCAGGCAGTCAAGTTTTTTAAGCGCCCCAGTTCCACTGCAAAATCCCACTTAATAAAATGGAGCTTGCGCGGATTTCGTGTTTATTTATAAACTCTTTGGTGTGGGAAAAGGTAGTGGGAGGCACTGGGAGGGGGTTAGAAACTGAACTGCGGACCCCTGATTTCTGAACACACGCTCTCTGGTGATTCATCGTACTTCCACAATTGAAGGACAGAAGGCCATTTTGAAGACCAGCAGACCTGGAGCCTGCTGGCTTTTGCTATCCATGGAGCCAGCCATGAGTTAGGCTCTTGGTAGAAACACTGAACCATGCGGACAGCTGTATGGTTGGGGCTGGATCAGTTGTCCCACAGGTGGAGACTCAGATGAGCAGGCTGGTAAAACCGCGTGGGAAACAGGTTAGGAATGTTGACCATCTCTATCAGAGAAAGTGGACAGTGAGTACAGGGTGCACCTGGTCCTGTGCTTAGCGCTAGTCGCAGGAGAGGCAGCTGATTCAAAGGCCGAGACAGCAGAGATCTGTACAAGCCCCCATGCGCAGTGGAGCAACCAGTCAGCTCTTCCACTTGCCAAGCACTATCCACCCATCCTAAACTAGAGAAAGCCCCAGAGTGCTAGAGAAACCACCTGCCAGTCCCGGAACTGGAACTCAGATGGTTGCCCTGCTCAGTTTCCAACAAGAGCGCCACTGGCTCTGACCACAGGGACAGCTGGGAGGATCTAGAAGTGGGAAGTCGAGCTTCCGCCCCCTTCGCGGTCACCACTGGGGTGGGGCTATTGTAAATGGGTGAAAGTTGGGAGCCCTAAATGTTCTGGAAGGAAGGGTGGCCCAAGGAGCACATCAAGGGCAGCTCTCTGGAGCAAGACACCCCCCAAGTCCCCAGGGGCCTCATCTCACCAGCCCCCAGCCTGCTGCCCTTTCCAAGCTGGCTCAGTGTTGCAATGGGGGCTCATGAAGCTGAACCAGGGCAGGGAGTCAAAGCTGGGCTACAGCGGGGATCCCCCTGGTCCTCGGCATTTTCAGGTAGCCAGCCCTACGAAAAGTGAGCCGGGCCCTAAGGAATTCCAGTCCACCAGCCAAGTGGGACTTTGGGCATTTGTGACCTGGCTGCTCCCAGGGAAAATGACAAGGCTTTCTGCTCCTGTAGAGCTACAGTCTTGGAAACCCAGAAGGACGGAGTTTTCTGATCACTGCTACTTCCTGGTCCCAAGCTGGTCTTTCTCCCCGGGTTCTTGGTGAGATGAACAAAGATCCCCAAAGTGTTTTTAGAGCCCCCCTCCCCCCTCCGGGGGCGCTGAGTATAATAAGTCCAGCTATTTGGTGTGGGAACTGGGGGAGGATGGAGACCCCAGGACAGACCTGCTCTCTAAGTCCCAGTAGCTCTTCCCGGGGTGCCGGCCAGGCATGCCACTGACATGGTACTCAGAAGACTCCAGCATGTCTGGCAGGTTGAACTCCACAGCTTTCCTCCGCCCAGAGTCCAGTTCTGGGTGCTCCTTCCGGAGCGTTTGC